TACAAAAAAATACATTTCGCTTAATATATACAAACGTATGCCAACGCAATAAGCATCATTTAAATAAAACTAAAAAGGAACACTTCAATATATTATTGAAATCCTTATCATAAGTTAATACATAAAGCTTTGCTTAGAACATTAACATGAATATATGTAAGATTAACTTAAAAAAAAACATAAATTTAACTTTTACAAAGATACTCTTTTGGTAATTAAAATGTGAGAAAAAGGATCAATGCTAAAAGAATTTGTATCCTATTACGCCTCCACTACTTTAACATGTACAATACGTTTACAATACAAACTAATATGTATAAAAATGTTAATGAACATACTAAATGCAAAAGTATATCAATATTCTGAGTTCAAATAAACATAAATAAGAAGCATCATACTATAGTACCGAATTATAAAACATGGTAAATAATTTGGTTTATTAATCGCGGCAAAGAACTTGCGGGCTATCTTGCCTAAGGGATTGATGTCTTCGTGGAGGATTTTCTAAGGCAAATTGACTCGTATGCACGTTACATATGAGGAAACCTACAAAAATGTCCATGCAGCCAACCCACTCGCCGAAATTCAAATCCCGGTCAAGACTACCAGCGTTTGGCTATTTTACCGTTCGGCCGCTAGTGCGCCTGAAATATGACAAATGACACCAATGAAATATGATAAATAATATCAATGAAATATGATAAAATGAACAGATTTAACGCAGTTTTAGATAATCACTTTAAACCTTAGACTAATGCAATGTAAAATTGCTTATTTTGTCTAATTATAGTGTGCGTAGTTAATTTATTAATGCTAGGACACCATCTACATAAAAAAGTGCCCAGGAGCTAGAAATATGTCAGATCTGAATCATCAGCACATCGCAAAAGTAAGTAAATTATGAATTGATTTCATGTCGGTACTATTGCGTACATATTTGTATGAATGCAATATTTAATAGCAAAATGTCAAATATAATTCTGGTATGTAATGCATTGTATGGATTATGCAATTCCAAACGCATCCCGCCAAATAATAAAAACTCTGACCTAAGCTGATGCAGTACTACTAAGGAAAGAAGTGGCTGCAGTGTTCATTGCCAAAATCAATATTTTTAATAGTTTTATAAATAGCGCGGTATGTAAATAAAAAATAGTACGTAATTAAGTAGCTGATTTGTGAAAATCGGAGTGTTTCTCGTAAATTTAATGCTGTTGGCAATAGCAAACATAATTTTCATGTGGTGAGTTAGTCTTTCAGAATGCAAATGAAGAATTAAAAGAATATAGATATTAAAAGAATACCCTAAAGAATATAAAGCCAGAAAATGAGAATATAGAGCTTACTCCAGTAGGCTGCCTTCAGACTTAGAAGCTGAAATAGGTCCATTTTGTTAATAAAAGAAAGAGATAATTAAACAGCCTTATCAAAATTTAAAAATTAATGTAAGAATTCTCACAAAAATGTCTAGTTCAAAATGGTGTCAAAATACTCAGTCTGCACCGCCTTAATGGTTTAGGTGTAGGTTGTCACGATAAACAACGGTTTAGAGTGTGAAATAATTTTTAGACTGACAACTGTGTAGCAAGCTGCTTTTGATAAATTTACCTTGAATTTTCTTAATTTTTATTATTTTAATTAATATTCTAAATTCTTTTTAAAAACCAGTATTGTTATTACATATATATTTTAATTATTTTCTTTTGGTTAATAATAGTGTTTGCTACAGTTTTCCTGGAAATGTTAGAACGCTAATAGATAAGTTTAATTATATTGAAATTGAATAGTTTCTTTCATCAAATAAAGTCATTTTGTTGAGTTTGTAAATAAGGTATAATAATCTGCTTAGGTTTCCTCTGTGTTATTTTTGTTACGTTTAATGCATAGGACAGCTATCTTGTTTTTCAGTTTCACTGCAATAATTTATGGCAATGATGTCATCTATATATCTGAAGGTAAAACTGAAAAATTCTGTTTTCTGGTAACTATCGATAAAATTAAAATTTTTAACGAAGAATAGTTTAAAAATGGCAGCTGCATATAATCTGTAGATATATTTTATTTTATGCTTGATAAAATTATGAAAAATGTATGTTTTAAATAAAAATCCATTTTTCGAAATCAATTAAATAATTATTGTTGGGAAAAGATTGTAAAGTTCAATTCAATTATTATAAATCACATTCAGCGGCAAAGCGGCGTAAGGAATTAATATTGTAAATCTGTTGTTTGTTAACGGTTTATACAACTTTACGATTATTGGCGATAACCCAGTTGTTATTTAATTTAATAGTAGTTATTAATTTAATAGCAGTTAGCAAACTACTATTAAATTAAATAACCCAGTTGTTATTTAATTTAATAGTAGTTTGCTCAGTACAAACATTTTAAAGAATTTCAATGAAATTAGTATCAGTCCATTAATTATAATTATTCACTCCATTAGTTATAAACCAGAACTTGACTGGATTCTTCTGAAATTTTGGTAGTGCATACGAACTGGAGAATTTATTGTATTGAGGCTTGCAAATAATTTTAAGTTTTCTTGTGCAATGCTTTAAATCTATTTACGTGTGTTTTCTTGACTTTTAGAGATTTGGTTCATAACATCTTGATACAATTTTTTGCAAATAATATTAATTTAGCAGTTCCATTTGATTTTAATCTTACATCATAGCACATGTTAGGGTTAACTGAACCCAACGCTTCAGAATTCAAGGATTTATTTTTACCAAGTGTCTTACTTGTTTTTCGAACTAGTTTATAGTATAATGAATTTTATTTATTAATTATTAGTATTTTTATATTCAAAACAATAGTTGCTTCCTAAATTTTGTTAGAATGTTACAGTTTTGAGAATTGATTCTTGCTCTATTCTATATTTAATGTTACATGTGTTCCAAATTTAGTTCATTCTATATTTTCATATATTTAGTTCCTTCTATATTTCATGTTACATGTGTTAGATTAATTACTTCAGTTTGCTTAACATGGTTTTGATGCTGCTATTTGTAGTTATTTCATTCACTTGAAAAACTGAGCAGTGCTTCTCTTCCAAATCCAACCTGTAGGAGTCGGATAGAAAACGACACAAATTCGTTTGTAGTAAATTAAAGTTTTAGTTCTAATTTGTAAATTTGTGCTATTCTCAGTTCAGAAAAAAGCTGATCCATTTACTTCTTTCGATATACCAAACCCCTGATGACGATGCGTCGAAAGATGAAAACGCACTTTTTTTATTATTTTATTTTATTTTAATTTAATTTTGCATTTCCATTTTCGGCTTACATTGTTTTTGCATTTTTTCATATATTTGTTCACTGTGACTCTCAATTTTTTCACCGTGGTTTTTGTGTTTGGAAACAATTATATGTTAATTTTTGATCCGGGTTGAATATATTATGGATTTGTATATTTTATTTTTACTTTACAATATTACCACCAGTTGTTGCAGCTACCAGCGTGTAACTGGGTTATGTATTGAACACCTTTTTGCATTGTATTTATTCATTATATATATGTTTAAGAAATTTCCAAAACGGTGCAAATTTATCAATCGAAAATTACAAAGGTGAAATTCAATAAGTGATGCACAAGATTACAGTGCACCTGAAGTTATAACGCGCCAAAAAGGGAAGGAGGCTTTTAATCATAAAACATTTTTCCTTGAGCAGCCTTCCAGCCGTATAAGTGGCCAAAAAATAACATAAATTATATGACTGACAGTCTTTAACAAACTGAATATCTAAGAAAAAGTATTCACCCATTCAAATGTAGATTGCATTTCTCACAATCTTTAATCACGACCAAAAGATACGTAGAATAACAAAATTTCTCAATAAGGTAAACTTTTTTTCAGAACGCACACCACAGGATAATCAAATTTTTGTGTTCCCGAAAATTTGAAGGGATTGTTTACACTGATTAGCATGGTTATGAAAAACACTGATGTGAGTGTACTCAAAAATATATATTTATGCTCCAAAATTCAACGTTAGATTGATGCCGGTTTTAGAGAAAAGCTCGATCGTCATTATGCGTGTCATTCCCTCTCGAAAAATTACGTATTTCTAGGAAGCTCGTCACAAGGTTAAAAACATCCTGCGCCATAGCCCGGAAATATGTGGTTTTAATAGAATAATAACCACGCTTAATAAAGTACGTAGCAAGAATATATAAATAAAAAAAAAAAAAAAAAAGATAAACAATCTATTTACGTGTGTTTTCTTGACTTTTTCTTGAGCATCAACTGCAACACGATCTATCGAACAACACGAAAACGAATAAAATTATGAGACTTTTAATATAAGCTTTTAACTAGACTGAAAACAAAACAAGAAAATAGACTGGAATCAAAAGTCTTGAATGAAAGTCATAAATGAAGCTGATAGAGTTTTATGAATGAGTTAAGCTTCAACAAAATATGTTTTATAAAGCGAATCAGTTTTTTTAATAATGTTAGCATTATCAAATTCTAAATAATGGCTAAAATATCAAAAACAGCTAAGAATTTAATATATTTTTTTAAAAATTTTCTTTCCTGTTCTTTTTTAAGTTTAACACTTGATTCAATATAGCCAATTCCTGATGTAACTTGATTCCATGAAATCGGTTTCAATCTATGGTTGAATTTGTCCAATTTTCAAATTCCAGATACGTTGTTTCTCTTCCATACATTATGTAATAACTTAATTGAAATATTAAAATTTCCCATTGCAGCACTTATTTTCATAATTTTTTAGAAGAAGCTTTCAAATTTGTAACATCTATAGAATAATACTGAAGATGAACAAAAGCTATTGTATGATATGCAACATAAAAAAAATTATAATAAAAATGAGATAGGAGATAAATGACATAAATGAGATAGTAGGAAATAATAGAACATAAATGAGATTTTTACCATGCATTTAAAGTTAAATTATGTTTGGACACGTAATTATGCACGAAAACATTACTAACTAGAAATATTCATAATTCTAAGGAAAAAATATGTTTACCTAAAGTGTGATGCTTGAGTTGAGGTGGAAATACGTTTTTATATAAAAATACTTTGTTGTTCTTTCCTACTCGTAAGATGTCATCGCTGAGGAAAGGAAATTTGACTTGATATCCTGTTGCAAATATAACTACATCAATAGGCGTTGTCTCTTCCTCGTCAACGAAAATTACTCCAGTTTCTGAAAATTCTTTAATATCTCGTTTGACAGTAACCATTCCCGTCAACAGTTTGGCTTGTATTTCATCATTTATTGTTGGATGTTGGCTTGTGACAGGATGATATGGTTTGATACCAAATCGTTTATGATCCATTTTTTCAGTCAGAGTTTTTTCTATATCCTTTGCAAAATAATTTGCAGGCATTAGAACTTTATACCTGCGATACAAGCAAATGTCCATCGGTTTTCCTTTCTCAAAAAGTCGGGGGAAAATCCAACTTCCTCTTCTGGTGCTTAGATAGACCTAAAGAAAACAAAATTTTATTAAAAGAGAGAAGTTGCTTATGATAAAGATAATCTCACATAGAACAACATCACCTTGCTCAACGTATTGTAGAAATTGAAGCATATCTTAGAAGCAGTTGATCGTGCGGCGTTTTCTCCTAAGCTTAAATTTAGAATCCGATTCAGTGCTCAAATTAGTGCAGTATTTTTATGGAAATCATTAGTTAATGAAGAGAAGCTTTATATAAAATTATTAGGTAAGCTAAGAATATAAGGTTTCACAATAAATTACTTTCATTTTGTTTTGAAAAATGCGCATAGAAATTTCAAACCATTGTATTAAAAAGTAACAGGTAAATCATAAAACATTCAAAATTCCAAACTAAGTTATGTAATCGAGATATAAGATATAATTTCAAATCAACACAGATCTATAAAACGTTTACGAACGAATAACCTGGAACTGAGTCTTTCATACAACAATTTTTTTAATTGTCGCCAAAGTCTAATTTCCATAATTTCTATTAAGCAGCCTTAAGCCAGATGAGTGCTGCTTCTGAATACGCATTTTAGAAATGTGTATTTTTCAGTGCTAACGCAATTCATGAAATAAGCATTTAATCCGTCATCATCACAAAGGAATACTTTTTAGAATAGTTAACGCTACATTTAAGGAGATAATTTAGTACACTAAAGTACATAATTTGCAGTAAAAAAATACACGCTTATAATGAGACGAGTGCCTTCGTTGTAGCAATGTTCTAAAGAAAACTGGCTCGTATTTTATGCAACTCGTGCAAAAAATTACGAAAATTCCCATGCTGCCAGCTTTATTTCGTCATCAATGAAAAATGTTGTAGATAAAACAAACAGTGTGCTGAATGATTCTATCCATTCAACTTTAAATAGTCTCTGCACAGTATTTCATTATAAATACAGTGTCGGTGGGCTAAATGAATGTGCAACATATTGACAATTTATGAATGGAAAGGAAATTTTTCTATGCAGCTGTTATAACATTTTATAGTACGATGTACTCTACCACATTTGTGCCCTTTTTTAAATAAAAAAATTGTTCATTAGCACCAGAAATGCTATTAGTCTCGATTCTCACTTTTTGTCTACATCACTTCTCAAATAAAAGGCTGTAGTCACCAAGTGAAATCGTTATGTATTATTTTTAAGGAAATAATTAAGCGAGCATAAGCAATGTACGGAAACACTTAAAACTCTATTGAAAATTCTAAAGACATGCCGTCTTTAAATGTTTTGTAAGTTTTTGATTTTTATATGGCGTAAGTGCGTAGAAAATGATGTTTTATATATAAAGACAAAAAAGGTTGAAGATGACAAAAATGTTTTGGACATCATCTAGTTAAGAAAACGGAACACAGATATGATGAACTGAGAAAACAGAAAACGTATGGAAACTCTAAACCTCTATCGCGAATTCTAAAACTATGTTTTTAAACCTTTTGTCATTTTAGTGTTGAATTTTATGTGGCTTAAGTGCGAAGAAAGCGATGTTTAATAATAAATCAATTAAGGCAAAAAAAAAAAAAAAGGAGTAAGTCCAAGATGTTATCAGGAGTGAGTCCAAGAGCGAATTGGTAAACTGTGGGCTCAGCCAGAACATAAAAACATTATGGGATGTTAAAATCTGAATTCTTTCTTTTCGTTATTTATTTATTTATATAAACCAAAATATAATCCGGAAAGTTAATTAAACATTTGTTTACATCAAAAGGCTCAAATTTATTTTCAAGCAAAGTAAAGGCGCTTGTTCAATTGCAAATGCATGACCACTGCTGCAGACTTGATACAGCATCACAACTGTGGATCGATCAGGAAACTCTCAGCCTATAAGAAAATGTTCAATGTGTTTAATTACAAAAATTTGGTACAAATTCTATCGGCAGTTATCTATAAGCAGTCTGAAGCATATCAAACATAACTGAATGGAATTTTAATTTACAAATATCTTTATCCATGCATTCTGTCTATGATCATGTGTGGTCGCTATGTTATCGTTTGTTCCATGTGTTTAATTCTTGTACTGCAATTTGATGCTAATATTAAAAATATTTTAACAATCATTTTTAGAAGTAATTTCAAATATATAAATTATAAAATTAAGAACATAAAAATATTAAAAACATATATTTATGAAAATAATTTTAAGAAACACTTACGCATTTTAATTCTGTTATTGATTGTGGGTTTTTACAACTTATCTGGAAATGTACTTTAAAAAAAAAATCTACGAGAAGATGAAAGGAAGAAAACCATTTCCAGCCATAGTTGAACCAGTTATATATTCAAGAAGGTTTAAGCACGGAAATTCTCCAATTTTCTAACTCACAAAATTAGTGAAGTATTATCGATCACCGATCATTTCCACATGAAATAAATTGTTTCATATCAATACAATGAAACAAAAAGATTTTGATGAAAAAGTTCAACGAAATACATATGTACATTCTTAATCTCCAAAATATTAGAAAATGATTTTTCCATACGATTTGCATTTCCATCAATTCATTCGATTCTCATTAATTTAATTTACATAAATATTTTGTGGAGTGATCTAAAGGAGATTTGGGTTCTATATAAACAAAAGTTTTGTACATTTGTTTACAAGCGTCATATTTAAATTGTATCGAAAGATACAAAAATTTTATATATTCCGATACACCTAGATGGCAGCATGCCTTAGAGTGAACACAAGAAGCATTCTTCCTTTAAAGACATAGCTGACGTATTATTGTAAACACAAAATAACCACTTCTATACGCTCATTCATTTGCTGCAGTATTACATAATTTGGAAAGTAAAAGGAAAACAATAAAAATGAATAAATTCTTATTAGATCGGTAACGAATATAAAAAGAATGAAACATACATTAACCCAGAGACAACAAAAGTAAAAAATTTATGAAAGGTAATGAAAAATCGAAAATAAATAATGAGTGAGTGATTAGCTAGCTAAGTCTTTTCTTATACGTACACTGCAAAAAAAAAAAAAAAAAAAAAAAAAGACAGATCTTATATCTTTCATTCTAATGGGCCGATTGACGAAATTCAACTTGCGTTTTTCATGTCTCGAAAGCGCGACTTAGGATACGTATTAGATTTATATATAGCATTGTTCTAATACAGATATTTTGACACAAAAATCGGACTTTTCCTGAAATAACATACCAATTTTTTTTCAATATTTCAATTCTACGACTCAAATTACGCCAAGTTTTGTAAAAATCGCACGAGTAGTTTTTAAAAAATTTGCTCTCAAAATTTTAGCACCTCACTGTTAATTGAGTTTGATATATATTTATTTATCTCTTTTATAAAGTATTTCTCCCGCTTTCCAAGAGTCCTTCGTGGTGTAGTGGTTCTGCACGCTGGGCCGGTATTGTAGAGGTCCGTGGTTCGATTCCCGACGAAGGCGTTTGCTATTTTTCATCTTTTCTGCTTCCAAAAATCCTAATGACTCTACATTTTTTTATTAAACTTATTTAATTCTTCCTTTCACATTTCGAAATAATTCCAAATAAAATTTACCCATTTTTTATGATTTATTTTTAAAATTTGTATTTTTAAATAATTTTTTTTAATTTTTCAAAAAAAATTTGAATTATAAAGTTTTTACCGTCATCTTAAAGGAGACGTATTTCTAAGCATACCTGCAAAAAATTATAGTTTTTTATTCAAAATTTTCGAAGATATATGTGAATTGATATATCGGCTCGCTTTGAAATTTGGCATATTTGTTGAAAGCGATAAAACATCAAATATGGTTTAGACACTTTGCTAAAATTATTTGGAAGTAGAAACAACGCGACTTTTTTTTCCGCTCATGCACAATGTAAAAAAATAGGAACGAGGTGCCTTTTTTTCGCTCCGACATGATGGAAGGGAAAGGAAAATTGGTTGCCACATATTAAGAAGTTCGCCAAGTGGCGCAAACTAAAAAAAAAAAAAAAAAAGGGCCAAGATAAATTTTTGAATTTCTCCGTAAATTTCGCAACACATTTTACAAAATTTAATATCTAGGCATAATTTGAGTCGTAGAATCGAAATATGGAAAAAAATGTGTATGTTCTTTCAGAAAAAATCCGATTTTTTGTCAAAATACCTAAGTTGGAACCATGTTATATATAAATCTAATATATATATTATAATATATATAGAAGTCGCGCTTTTGAGACATGAAAAACGCAATTTGAATTTTGTCAATCGGCCCAGTAGAACGGGAGATATAAAACTGTCCCCCCTTCCTTTCCCCCCCCCCGCAGTGTACATACTGATTTATTAAGATTTGCTTGGAAAGTAGGTCTTAGGATATTGGGGCGGAAGAAAATATTCTAATGTTATATTAGAATGTTTTGAAATTTGGCATATTTGTTAAAAGCGATAAAACATCAAATGTGGTTTAGCTTGACGGAATGGTATTGTGTCCAAGAGCTTTAACATACTTTCGGTAATTTACATTTTCTAATAAACTAAAAATGAAAGAACCGAAATATTTTAACACTTAAACTTTTGCTATAAATATTTTTCCTTTAGGTGATAGCTTCCATGTGCTTTACCATATTCGATTAATCGAAAAAACATGATCAAATAGTTTGGTTTCTCGTACAGTAATAGGTCCACCAGAAATCGATTGGTTAAAGAAGCAAAAAAATGGTAGCACTCAGGAGAAGGTGGATCACTGCATGAGGTTTACTTCTAATGTAGCACAAATATGGGCCAACTACTTTTAGAAAATCCTTAGTGAATGATAAGCAGATAGTCATGGTGTGTGCTGCTGTTGAATAACTCCAATTCATTCAGTATTATAGAAACAGATTACTTAGAAATGTAGCTAAGTAAATCAAGTAAGGGCATTTTAATCATAACTGCTGCTATTTAACAGAGCTAATTAGAGATTAACATTTATCTAAACGGACTTCCTTAAAATGGATACCTTTCTTTTCAAATATTTCTAAATGGTGTATTAAGAATTTCAAATCATTATTGCAAAGAGTTCAGAAATGTTCCTTACCAGTTCTGTGCTGCTTTATAACTAAAACGATCGCCAACGAAACATGAGTAATCTCGATGTATGGTAAAAAAAAACATAATTATTACCTTTTTAGCTACATTAGAAATTTCAGCAGCAATATCAGCACCTGAGTTTCCAGCACCAACTACGAGCACTGATTTATCTTCCATGCCAGTAAATGTTTTATAAGTGTGGCTGTGCATAATTCTTCCGGAAAACAAATCCATATTTGAATATGAAGGCGTATAAGGATACGCATGATGTCCAATGCATGCCATAACACCATCGAAAGTTTCTTCTCTGCTTTCATTCGTGTGTAGGTCTCTAATTTTTACTACCCATCTGCCAGTTGTGCCATAATCTTCTGCAGGTATTAACTCTACAACCTGGAAAAAGCCAATAAAATGCAGTTACTTAAACGCCAAAGGTTTTTTTTTTTTTTTTTTTTTTTTTGTTTTTCCATCATAATAAAATGTCAACAAAATAATTAAATGCTAAAATTCACACTATATGTGAGTTATGCGAGTAATTAGAATTCATTTATACACATTTTCTTTTTTTCATTTTTCTTCGATATATTTTTTACCATTTTGCATACCAGTTTCCAATTTTCACTAAATTTAGAATAATTACAAAATACAGATCGAAACTTTCGTGGGTAAAACCATGAAAACCCAGTATGCAGCCAGCCAGTTTGCTTGAGATTGATGCCAGGTAAAACTACAAGCAACATTAATTACCAGTAGGGCACTGGTGGGGCACTTGAAGGCAGAAAGAAGAAGGTTATTAAAGTCGTTAAGCAAGTTCAAAAGATTTTTATGAGTAGAAAAGTTTAAAGAAATCCAGTTTGGCAATTGAAAGTTTTTTTAATTATATTGGCAGAAGAAATTTGGGGATATGACCAAGAAACCAATAATGCTCAACAATAAATGATTTATAATTATCTTTTCTCAGAACAGAAGTTTCATCCTTGCTAATGTGAAATTTTAAATCTTGCCCATTTAATCGAATATATTATACATATATAGTCATAGCAACAAAGGAAACTGGAATTCCTCCATGAATTCATATCAGAAACAGGGTCTTTCCCTTCCTGTTTATAATGTAATAATCTATAAGATACAGACACTAAGACAGTTCATTACAGATACTCAATAACTAGACAATGGTAAATTTGCAAAAAAGCATACAACTTAGAAAGTTTTATCAAATCGCATATTAATAATAATTAATAGAATAATTTATGTTTGATCGCCATCGAAATTGATAGAGTTTTCTTAAAAATCAGAGAAAATCTGAAGTTCCTTTTTTCCTTAATTTTAAATTTTACATCAGCGTTTTTCTCTTGTAACTAGATACAAGCACTGCTTAATAATTCTAGAATAAATCAAAAATGTAATATTTAGCTCATTTAAGTAAAACAGCATACCATGTTCGTTTTCACAAACAGAAAGGCTAAAAATAATTATAATTCATAACAAACCTCTTGGTAATAAGTAATATGACCCAATAAACCGAAGTGTTCTGCGTACATTTCCAAATATTTGAGAACTGTTGAATGATGCATATAAGTAGGAAAACTGCTGGAAGGCGGAAAGTCACTAAAAGATGACATTTCCTTGCTGGAATTGCTGATGGTTGATTTCATAACTGACGGTAAACCATCCACATCACTATCATGATACCTCCAAAGTCCACCGAATTCTCCAGTTTTTTCATAGCAGACCACATCGAAATTTTCTTCTTTGCAAGCTTTAATAGCTGTCAGACCAGACACACCAGCTCCGATAACCAAAATACGCATCTTTGCTGTCATTAAATCTAAAATAAAAAAATAGAGGACATTTATTCAGCAAAATAATGTTATTAATTTGGTAAAGCAAATAGAGAAAGAAAAGCAAGAAGGCAAATAAATTGGACAGGATCATTTAAATTATGGCAAGCAAGCACGGACTATCACTAAGGGGATGCCTTTGTGAAGGACTGTTTAAGGAAAGCGAATGAAACTTAAGTAATCACGTAAGATAGTCAGTAACGGATAAACCGATTCGCATCAGGTTGTTTGCCCAACGGGTACGTTCGCCCGGCAACTCAGTTGCCCGACAGGTAAACATTTATTCATGTTAGCATCGCTTCCCTTTCCTTGAAAGTTTCTCACGCTTACTAATATGCGCCTCACCTTAGCATACTTACGCTTCCCTGGCGTAATTAGCTAGCGTCTGCTATACACTGTTCTCGATGTATCATGGGACTGGCGACTAAAGATATTACAGGAGAGAAGAAAGAAATTAGCAAGCTACAAATTTTGCAAAATAAGTCTCTTCATCTTGTACACTGTTCGCGATGTATCATGGAACTGGCGACTAAACATGTTACAGGAGAGGAGAAGGAAATTAGCAAGCTACAAATTTTGCAAAATAAGTCTCTTCATCTTGTACACTGTTCGGGATGTATCATGGAACTGGCGACTAAAGATATTACAGGAGAGGAGAAGGAAATTAGCAAGCTACAAAATTTGCAAAATAAGTCTCTTCATCTTGCACACTGTTCGCGATGTATCATGGAACTGGCGACTAAAGATATTACAGGAGAGGAGAAGGAAATTAGCAAGTTACAAATTTTGCAAAATAAGTCTCTTCATCTTGTACACTGTTCGCGATGTATCATGGGACTGGCGACTAAAGATATTACAGGAGAGAAGAAGGAAATTAGCAAGCTACAAATTTTGCAAAATAAGTCTCTTCATCTTGTACACTGTTCGGGATGTATCATGGAACTGGCGACTAAAGATATTACAGGAGAGGAGAAGGAAATTAGCAAGTTACAAATTTTGCAAAATAAGTCTCTTCATCTTGCACACTGTTCGCGATGTATCATGGAACTGGCGACTAAAGATATTACAGGAGAGGAGAAGGAAATTAGCAAGTTACAAATTTTGCAAAATAAGTCTCTTCATCTTGTACACTGTTCGCGATGTATCATGGGACTGGCGACTAAACATGTTACAGGAGAGGAGAAGGAAATTAGCAAGCTACAAATTTTGCAAAATAAGTCTCTTCATCTTGTACACTGTTCGCGATGTATCATGGAACTGGCGACTAAAGATATTACAAGAGAGGAGAAGGAAATTAGCAAGCTACAAATTTTGCAAAATAAGTCTCTTCAACTTGTACACTGTTCGGGATGTATCATGGAACTGGCGACTAAAGATATTACAGGAGAGGAGAAGGAAATTAGCAAGTTACAAATTTTGCAAAATAAGTCTCTTCATCTTGCACACTGTTCGCGATGTATCATGGAACTGGCGACTAAAGATATTACAGGAGAGGAGAAGGAAATTAGCAAGCTACAAATTTTGCAAAATAAGTCTCTTCAACTTGTACACTGTTCGGGATGTATCATGGAACTGGCGACTAAAGATATTACAGGAGAGGAGAAGGAAATTAGCAAGTTACAAATTTTGCAAAATAAGTCTCTTCATCTTGCACACTGTTCGCGATGTATCATGGAACTGGCGACTAAAGATATTACAGGAGAGGAGAAGGAAATTAGCAAGCTACAAATTTTGCAAAATAAGTCTCTTCATCTTATTACTGGAACCCTTTGGTTTCTCAGAAACAGACATCTGTATGAAGACTTAACCACTGATTACTTTAAGGATTATCGCAACAAGCTAAACAAAAATTTCTATCGTTTTGCCTAAACAAATAATGCTTTAAATTTTATTAAAATCTTAAGCTATGAAATTATTCCAGAAGTTTACGTTTCCAGACACTACGCAGCACATCTATTTAATATGTTAGATCTGCATACATAATCGTTCTTCTATATCATCATCTCCCTCCTGGACAGTTTTAAAATTACAGCAATATTTTCTTCTTCATTTTAGATGTCTTTAATTTTATCCCGCTTTTTACCACGTCAGCGTTAGGATGGCTGATAGCGCTCAGTGACGCAGAGCTTCTGAATAACGGTTTTTTTTCATCCCCCATTCATAAAACGTCATTTTCGCATCATCCACCTTCTGTTCTGCATCATTCACTAATAATTATACTTTTTACTGAATATGGATGTCTACAATTAATTTTTAAAGATTCGGAATCTGTGAAGATCTGACTCAGAACACGAGTTTCACTCAGCACACTGATTCAGGTATCTGAATTTTTCTCCCGCGTCCTATGGATCTAAGATTTATCTCTGATTATGCATGTAATTGTATTTAGAAGTACCTTATTTTATTTTCTCATCTTCAGTTGTTTTTTATTATTCTGAAACTGTGTATAATTTGTTCCGCACCGTGAAATGGCTTGTGTAAATTCCAGTATTGCCAACTCTAACTGAAATAAAATATTCAAAAAATGAAATAAATTTAAAATGAGGAATTTTTATAACAGCAGTAAATATGGTGTGAAACATCAAACAATATCACATAAGGAAATAAATGTAAAATAAAGTTAATTGATTATTGCACATTACAGAAACCGACAGCATTAATTTAAAGCAATTCATGAACATAAACACGAGTGAAAAAACAACATATACTTTTTAGATCCCGAGTAAATAATTTCCCACATATCGACTCTTACCTGAATAACAAATCAGTAGTACTTAATCCAAACATTAGTAAATATTTTTCTTTTGGCCTATGAAAACTCTTTAAAAACTTATTTTATGCACATGGAAAAAAAAATGCTGTTGAGTTCTCGTCAACTCAGTACACACATTTCTCAGCAGGCTGATTATACGCGGCTGACGTCTGTATTCGTCGCCAAGCAATGAAAGTTAACATGCTGGAAAAATGACCAATGCTAAGGCGAGACACTACTCCCCCCTCCCACGACTCACACTATTGATGAACGTCCGGATTTCTATTTCAACAAGATGGAATTCCTCAGAGATGTGTTGTTAGCGCTTCCGATCACTAATTTGGCCTTTGAACCTCCATGAATTGGGCAGACAGGGGTTACTTTGCCTCGCAAGTTCTGTATTACAGAATCCTAAGAAAGAACATAGAAAATACCGTTTCACCTTATTGCCTGAAATATAGGACATTACACCGTTCTTCATTGGTCTAGTCTCTTATCAGGGCTTTATCTCTTCTGTTTCATTCTTGCCACATATTAGGTGGCTGCGTTAGGCATTAACATGCATATCACTTTTGAAAAATGGTTCAAGTTGTACCTTCAAAAAGGGATCATCCTAAGTTAATTATTAATGATTATTTGATATGGAATACAAAAACAGAGGTGATTTGTTTTATTCATGTTGCGAGAAGCGCAAAACACAATTATGGAGGGTATGCGAACAACATACTTATAACTGGACATCACCTTTTGAACCACAAGGAATATAATATGGAGCTGATGATAATATATATATATATATATATATACTTCTGTATCAGTAGATAATATTAAACGGAATGCCCACCAAACTGGTGACACACCAGCGCAAGTTATTTAACAGAAAATCAATGCTGTCCCGGAGCAAAGTCATCCTACAATGCCTAGTCATCATGCCCTACGTCAAGTTATAAAAAGAGCTCGTAAAGAAGTTTTACCTCCGCAGTCAACTTCTTTGTAAAATATTAATATTCCATTACAGCTTAGGACTACTGATGACAGAAAATTTCTAATAAATGATTCCTCCATTAACAACGAACACGCACTCTTGTTGTTGAAAGCCCCTTATTGGATCATGGAAGGAGCATTTAAAACGGCTCAAACTTTCTTTTAACTGCATACCATCTACGCTTCTACTGAAACTGATGAAAATTCAAAAGTAATTCCTCTTGTTAACGCTTTAATGACGAGTAAATCAGAGAAGTGTTATACTAATTCAATATTTGAATGACTTTACTGCTGAACATGACAACAGATTAAATCTTCATTTCATTGTCAGTGAATTGGGTCACGAATTCCCAGATCACACAAATAAAGGATGTTTCTTTCATTTAGGAAAAAGTGTGTAGGCCATATTCAGGTGTCAGGACTTGCTAAAAGGTATGTCAACGATGAAAGTTTTAGTTTGAAACTTCTACATATTCAGCTCTTGTTTTTCTTCCATCTCGTGATATTCCATCTGCACTTGATGAGTTAAAGCCTCTTATTCTCGAAGAAGCAAATGCAGTAACATATTGTTTCGAAGATAATTACATACATGGCAGAAATCAGTCGCAATACGAAAAATGGAAAGTTTACTTAAAGTACTCCTTTATTTCATATTGATTTTTGATCTGTATTCGATAGAGTAAATCTTGGTATTCTAAAAGCACAAAGTCATATCAAAGCATGGCACACAAGTTTCGAAACGCTTGTTGGAAATCCTCAATTTGGTGTTTACACAATAACTAATGAGCATAGAAACAGTTGCAAGTGTAACGTAGGACAGAGAATAACATTCGTGGGAGAGCTCTTTCGTCAACTCGCAAGGAATACGTTGAACGAGAAAAACGAAGCAAAACTGTCTTTAAAGATAAAACAAATAGAATAATTATAGATTTCCTGCGCGGTACTGTACACTATATTGCATTATAGACTATTAAAAATGACGTAGTCCTTGAGAGGGATATCACAAATATACACACACACATATATGAAAAAAAAACTAATAATACCCAGAGTGAACTTAAATTCTGTAGGGTTTTAGGTCCTTGAAAAAGCAGAAGGGAATATTACCATTCAATACATGTAACTGTCAGGCAAACGTACCTATCCAACACCTGAGTATAAGATAAACATGCCTGTGGGGCAATTGCTTCTCAGGCAAGTGTATAGGTCGGGCAACCGATTTGTTGGTATAATACAGAAATAACAGAAATGATAAGATATCGAACCATTCTGTGAAACTTGCTCTCTTGAACAAGGAAATCCCACCTATTTCTTCTTTTGTTAGAAAAACTTAAGACTTAGAGTATTTTTATCTCTAGAATGTGGTCAATATTTTTCAATCTTTGTAAAAAACCTGTTCAGAAAATTACAGCGCTTCTCTAAGCTTACTAATTCTGTTGCTCCTAAACCAGTTAGTTATCTGTATTATTTTACTGTGGGATAAGAGCTTAAGCAAACTTGTGTTCAGAAAACGGATTAAACTTTCTTCTAATGGGAGAGTGTTGCGAGAAGCTGATAACTTATCATATATGATTAAAAGGGAGATAAAAATGAAAATTTGTGTCAGATGTACAGACAAATGCATAGCAACATATGGTTTAATATAAATAATTTCGTCAGAATCTCAAATACTTGTATATGGCATTTGATATAATACATATATAGGAAGGAAACAAAATAATTGATGTTAAAACAATTTGAAGCTCTCATTCTACCTTTGATTTTAAAATGATTGAGAGTATAGCAGTAACGAATTAAGAAAAGAACAAAGTGCGTTGTTCCGCATAAGTAGAGTATAAGTTTATTTAAATGATATGTACAATAGTATAAGTTTTGATCCACATAAGTAGAGGTAATAAATATGAAATAGTAAAGCAAAACTGCATTACATTTGTAAGCATCCTAAGTTTTACTAACGTTTATTTTATTTTAAAACTATACTATCACTTCTTATTTTCTACTTCCGGCCAGAATTAAACGCCTTAACTTATTTATGCAAATTGTTTTGCTAACGCTAAGTACTTAAGTTGTGGCTTTTTGCCAAGCAAAAGAGAGGAAGGAGTTATTGGAAGCAAGCCGCTTGCCATTGTATTTACGAGTTTTCACTCGGTTGCTGGTTGTCTTCAAGGCCAGAGGTTTAGTCCTCTTGATAATTGCAAACGTATCGTAGTTTTAGCAGCTCGGCGTACTACATACGGACCTTTGTTAAATAAAGGCCAATCTTAAAGCTAGGCACTTGTATACTAATTCAAAGTTAGTTTTAGTTAAAGTTTTAGTTAGTAGTTTTTATATTCTTACGTTCGGACCACAAGTGGTTGGTCTCTGTATTCCGAAGTTTCGGAAATTCCTGTAAAGTCTAGAAAATAAAGGGTTTCGTATACCCTTCCTGCTTGTATTGTCTACTTCACAATTTCTTGAACATAGCTTGAGTAAGCTTTCTGTTCCGAGTCAGGACCATTCATGTTTCCAAAGCAAATCAAGAGGAATACAAGTCCTGATACATTAACAAAACAGAAAAAAAAAATTAACTCTAGGGACATATTCGTCTAAATTTCAAATTCCTAATAACCAAATTCCCAAAAGTCCCAAAACTCTGTATTTAGCAGACTGCAGTTAATATTAAATGCTCAGAATAGTAGAGACGTAAATACTTACTACAGAGCAATATTTCTTAAATTTGAAAACAGTAAAAATTAAAGTTAAAATTCAGAACATTCAAAATTCAAAATACAGTAGATCAGTAGACTACATTTTACAAATCACATTACGAAAAAATATCTAATAAAACAATCGTAAATCCCTTTTGAAGAATAACAGGCAACATAACATCAGAGAAGCAACAATGTTGTAGACATACAAGTATCAATAATCAGGAAAAGTGATTTATGCATTTTCATTAGGCAAGCAGAATCAAACCTAATCATTTTCAATCCAATAGAAATCATGTTTCTATGATCAGAAAATTATCAATGGAAGCCACATATTATTTAACGATAAAACAAAAATGTTAACCTTTTACTAATTGGTAAGACAACAAAAGGTTACTGACATTTTTTATATCATATGATTAACAGTTTTCGAATATACATTGCTGGCCACCCAAATTGCAACACCAAGAAAGACAAGAGATATCACAACAAAATTTATTTATTAGGTAACATGTTGACCAAGTACCAAATCATTAAATTTATAGACTTCTGTGAAGTGTGGTTCTATCCAGAATCAGTAGCCAGAGTAGACGCTATTGTTGGAGATCACCGCTGTCCCACGCCTCGGCATTGATTCAAAGAGACTTTGTATGTGTTCTTGGGGTACAGCAGACCAAGCAGCTTCTACGCGTTGCCAAAGTTCATCTGGTGTGGCAGCTTGTGATGTAATCTGGGTCAATCGTTCAGCAACCATTGACCACATGTTTTCTATCAACGAAAGATCCGGAGAGCGAGCCGGCAGGGAAGCAATTCAATCCGGCGATTGACGAAGAACCCTTGGACAATACGTGCCACGTGTGGTCGCGCATTATCCTGTTGAAGGTAAGGAAAGACAACTGGCTCCAACACCTCGGAGATGTAGCGCTGGCTGTTTAAAGTACCGGCAATGCCTACTAGAGGAGTGCGAAAATGATATCCAATACCGCCCCATACCATAATACCCGGTGCAGGACCAGTGTGGCGGTGCATAACGCAGCTATTCAGCATCCTCTCTCCACGTTGTCTCCAGACTCGAATCCG